AGCTTGCACTCTGTCTCTCCCTCTCTCAAAAATAAATACACATTAAAACAAAATTAAAAACAAAACCTTTGCAGAAGTACAAAATTACGAAACGATAAAGTTGTTTCAAGCCACATGACAGACAATCAGGGAAGCTCTTCCTCTCCCTCAGGGTTTGGGCCTTCACTCGCCCTGTGCTTTCCAGGTATCCTGTATGGAGTCAGGTTGCTGCTTCAGGGTTCATTCAGGCTAATTCGAAACCTCATCTGGCTTTTTCATTTTTCACTTTTTTTTTTTTCCTATTGTGTATTTTCGCGGCTAGGATGCCCCAACAGGACTAGAAGCTGCCGCTCAAAGCAGGCTCATACATTCTCGTGTTAATATCCGGCAGCCAACGGTACGTGTACCTGACGTGGTCAGAAGGCAAAACAAACTGACACAATTGATGGCACCTTAGAGTTTTCTAGTAACTTTGTGACAACCGCCCTTGCTTTCTACTCTGAGGCGTTTCCTTTAAAAAAAAAAAAAAACGGGGTGTCACTCCAACTTTCAAGTTTACAGAATTTCCTCTTTTCAAAGCATCTCATTGAACTGCTCTTGCCCATGCTATCCATCATGGGACGTTTTCAACTACTGTTCATTTCTATTAGAGAAAAAGAATTTTAACCACCGCTGTGGTCATAAAAACTTTTCCTAAATCCTTGACAAGTGGTTGTTCACATTTTGTTGCAAGCTGTCACCACCGTAATTTCTGTACCTAGTTGGTAGAGCAGTGGTTTTGGGAACAGGAACACTTTGCTTTGAGTTTCTCATTCACCACATTTAAGCTGTTTGAGTTCATGTCGTCACCCCCATTTTTCTTATCTTTATTTAAAAAAATTGTTTTTAATGTTTATTTTTGAGAGAGAGAGAGAGAGAGAGAGACAGAACATGAGTGGGGGGGGCAGAGAGAGGGGGAGACACAGAATCTGAAGCAGGTCCCAGGCTCTGAGCTGTCAGCACAGAGCCCGACGCGGGACTCGAACCCACAACCGTGAGTGAGATCATGACCTGAGCCGAAGTCGGATGCTTAACCCACTGAGCCACCCAGGTGCCCCTCTCATCTTTAAAAAGGAGATAAGCACTCTGCCCAAAGACTGGCGAATGTCAAAAAGTTTTACAGAACGAGGAATTCAGATGTTATTTGTTGTTATTGTTCAACCCTATGTGGGGGGAATGATGTTATCTATTTTGTTGCCTTCAAATGCAAAAAATACAGCTGGACACACAGATAACATAAGCCTAATCACACTCCAGCCGACAGTATCCATATAAATGAACGGCTCCAAATCAAGATATGCATATATAAATAGACAATTTGGCAATGGGTTGATAGGTTTCTCCTTTTTAAAGCATCGCTCCCCCTGTGCCTGATAAGAGCAGATTTTTAAGTGTTATTTTTCACTAATGTCAACAGACAAAAGTCACCAGGTCTCCGGTCTACTGAGATGTGCCCAGTTCAGAAGGTATCAGATACTGCTGAGGCTCAGTGGAGGTCAGGGGCACAGCGAACGCACAGTGTTTTTGCAGAGAGGGCAGCAAAGGCAACCCAACGTGCGTTCCCTAAGTTCAAGGTTCTTCCGCTCTTATGCAAATCCACCGCGTGCACAATTTCTACCTGGACACTTGAGGGCTGGGGGGACCAAGGCCAACATGAAGCTCAGGAGATTTGCTGAGAGTAATAAAGTCCATTGTATCTGGCCCACGAGTAGCAGGTTTTCAACCACCAAACATAAAACTGTGGTAGCCTAGAAGTAGGGTAAAATCTCTGAGCCTTTCTAGTTCTTGGCATCCTTTTTTAGAGGAGGAGTTGGATTTCCAACATTGGTCAATGGGTACAAAGTTTCAGTTATGGTAGGTGAGTCCTCGAGATCCACCATAGGACACAGTACTAGTTTACCATGCTGTGGCCTATATGGAAACATCTGCTAAGTGGTATCATTCACTCATGCATTCATATATTCAATGGGAGGAAACTCTTGGAGGCGACGGGTGAAATTTATGGCATTGACTGCGGTGATGGTTTCATGGCTGTGCGTTTACCTCCAAAGTCATTAAACTGTATACGTCAAATCTGTACAGTGTTTTGTACATCAATCATACCTCAATAAAAATTTTTTAATACTAAAAAGAGCACCAGCAACGATGCCTACTAGGCTCTCATTAGGTCAGGGAACTTTTTTTTTTTTTTTTTTGGTTAGAAGTCTATTTTTTTAAAGGTGGGGTATAATTGATACATAACATTGTATTCGTTTCAAATGGAGAGAGTAATTTGCATGTATTACCATACAATCACCAAAATAAGTCTAGTTAACATCTGTCATCATACATAGTTAAGCAACTTTTTTTTTTTCTTGTGATGAGCACTACCAACATCTATTCTCTTAGCAACTTTCAAATATGCGATACGGTATTATCAACGATAGTCCCTATGTCGTGCATTACATCCCCAGGACTCAGTTACTTTATCACTGGAACTTGGCTTGATCACCTTCACTTATTTTTCACACCCCTCACCCCACCACCAATCTGTTCTCTGTTATCGATAAGCTTGGGGGGTTTTGCTTTGGATTCCACATGTAAGTGAGATCAGACAGTGTTTGTCTTTTTCTGCCTGACGTCTTTCACTTTGCATAATGCCCTCCAAGTCCATCAATGTCCCAAGTGGCAGGACTCCATTTTCGTGGCTCAGTAATATTCCTTTGTGTCTACACAGGCCACATAGTCTTCATTCATTCACTGATGGACACTTAATTTGCTTCCATAAATGGGCTACTGTAAGTAATGCTGCTATGAACTTGAGGGGGCACGTATCTTTGACATGGTGGTTTTGTTTTCTTTTGGATACATATCCAGAGTCAAACTGCTGGATTACGCGGTAGTTCCATTTGTAATTTTTGGAGGAACCCCCAAAAACCTCCATGTCGTCCATAGTAGCTGTGTAAATTTAGAGTTTCGCCAACAGGGCACAAGGGTTCCCTTTTCTCCACATCCTCCCCAATACTTAGTATTTCTTGTCTTTTTGATAATGGCCATTCTGACAGGTGTCAGGCAATAGCTCATCGTGGTTTTGATTTGCATTTCTTAGGTCAGGGAATCCTAACATACTGTATGTGTTTGCATACCCTGAGTAAGGTTTTGCCCTTGCAAAGACAGAGGGGGAAAAACAACATATTTTGTGAAATGGAAACATTCCACTCGAGCCCTAAGTCTCGTACCAGCTTATGCTTATCGACACCCTACTTTATGGGTTATCAGGGATTCTCAGTCCTGGGTCCATGCTAGAATCTCCCAGGTAATTTGTTATGAACCTTAGGCTCTACTCCAGAGATTCAAATGCAATTAATAATTCGTGGAGTATTCTAATACTCAGCTAGGGTCGAGAGCCATTGATATTTGAGAGGCAGCTCCTTTGGGACCTAGTGCTCATTCCTTTGGAAGTGGTGGGCCATTGGAGAACCGAGTGCGAGAAGTCTCAGAGTATCTGTGCACGAAGACCTGTCTCAGATCTCGTCTTTCTTCTCTTTGAATTTTTGTTTGAGCATTCGAATGACTTCTGGCTCTAGTCAACCTAGAACCGGGAGCTGAGCGTGTGTTTTTAAAATAAATATCCCAAATGCACATTTTTGCAGACAGTACCTTATTCTTTCCTTCTATTATTGCCGTGCGCTGAGTGATGCTCTCAATCCTGTTTCCTACGTTGCTGTCAGGATCCAGGATCAGGGGCTCATCATTATTGGAGCAGAAGTCATATCTATTTAAAAAAAAAAAAAGTAGGTCATTACTATGTTGCTTTGTAGCATGGTAGCATGGTCCAGTCCAGGGTGACAGGTGGAATCAAAATCATCACTGGTTAAGTCCTGAGATAACAAGATAACAAAACACATTCCCTTCTTTCCCTTGGAGTGTCCCCCCCATCCACCCTTAGAACTTACAAACAGAAAACACATTTTGCTTGAACTGAAAGAAACCCACACCAGCGTATCTTCGTACATCCTTCCTGTCCTAAATGTTAAATACTAAGTAAAAATGCAAAAATTAGGAAATTGAATATCTAGATTTTAATGAGTTCATGGAAGAGGAAACATGCAAACACAGGGGAAAAAAAGTTACGTTAATGAATGGAAACCTCAAGGAAATAATAGCATTTCACATCTATAAAAGGTTGGCTTTTAATCAGAATATTCCATTATACAGCTGATTTTTTTCCAGGGCTAATTAAGTGTATATGGAAACACACAGCATGAAGCAGTTATTAAATTCAGTCTATTTCTTTCCAAGTTTGGGGAGATCATGAGAAGCTCTTTAACTGCTTAGGCCTCGAGTGTTTAATTATAAAACAATCTCCTCTGTTTCTAAAAGTCCATGAAATCTCTTATTAAGCTAGCTAGTAGAGTACCCTTTTAAAGACAGAAGGTAACATGCTCTCTCAAACACACATTATTATCAGCAAACTATGGTTTTCGTATGGTTTACTACCCAAATTTTGGGGTAAATCTTTATTTGCCATGTATCATGTTCTACATAACCCAGGTTCTGCGTGAATTAAAAAAAATCCCAACAACAAAAAAGACACTTCCGTCCACTCTGACCCAGTCAGGAGTATCTTCACTGGCCCTGCTGCCTGCTGGCTTTTCCCACCTCAGACCATTACCCGAATGTTCGCATTTTTAGTGGAAACCTTTCTGCTCCAAAGTTCCAAAGGGCGTACTGAAGAAAGTCCAGGCTTCCTTGTCTGACAGTCAAGACCATCCACAACGCATTCCCTACCCAGAATTTGTGGTGAGCAGAGAGCCTGCTGGGCTCTAATTTATACATGTCGTGGGCAGATTATGGAGCTTTTCCAACCAGCAGGAACTTCAGCCTCCAGGCTGTTCCAGGAGGAACAGCCCAGTTCCAGAAAGAATGAGCGGTTGATCCAGGGCAGCCAATGGCAGCAATGATTGACATAAGATGATAGAGAATAAAGTAGGTGAGGAAGAAGGTCGGATAGATGGGACTGTGATGACCGGGAAAAAGTTCTGTGATTATCCCTCTCCTTGAGCTGAGAAGGGGCTCCGGACTGTTCAACCACTGAGTCTCTCTGGGTGGTCTCCCCTCCGGGCCTGTCAAGTCCTCCCCCAGAGCACTGACCAC